GCTCAGAGGCTGAAACAGGCATGGTGCTTTGGGGGTCAATTAAGGAGTGATTGGTTATTTAAGGAGAGAATACTGGACACTAGGTAGGGGCCATAGTTGGAAGGTTGACCGTGTTAAATCTTTATCCCCTAGGAACTGGGGACCATGGCAGGTTAAGGAGTAGGGGACAGAGTGGCCAGATCTGTTTGACCAGGAGAGCCGTGTGCTAGGGCAGAGCTGGGGATCAAAACAGGAACTTTTTCTTCTACCTCGAACTCCAAGGATAGATTGTGCTCCTGGTATAGTGGCCGGCTTAAGAAACATCTGTGGGAAACTCGGGCTTCCCTGTTAGTCTGCCTCGAAATAGCACATTGGTTGGGAGGCAGAAAGTCTGGGGCTTTTTGACTCTTTATTTATTTATTTTTTTCTGGGAGGTATTTTATTTTATTTATTTATTTTTTAATTTTTTATTGTTATGTTACTCACCATACATTACATCATTAGTTTTTGATGTAGTGTTCCATGATTTATTGGCTTTTTGACTCTTTAGAGGGTTTATTGGAAGAATCTGGATATTGGCAAATCCTTCTAAATTGGGGAATATCCATTTTGCTTGTAACTTACCTGCCCAGCAGACTGAAGACGGAGTATTAGGAGAAAAATGCCTTGAGTATGTCAGCAAGAATGAGAAACAAAAACCAAACACTAACTCGTAAAGGGAACCTCAGTTTCCCATTTCATCCCTACCTTCGTCGTGAGGACCTACTGGAGGTAAAGGAGAGTGTACAGGCTTCAGAGGTCTCACCAGCGTGTGCAGAAGGGATTACTATACACCAGCGAAGTGACCTGGTCAAACAGGAGACATGCTTCCTGAAACAGTCCCTTCCATCTGTCATGTCTAGGGTCTCTGCTTGTGGCTGACCCCGATTCACTTACCTCCTAGCTTTCAGCGAGTGTGTCTAGAGTTCCTTCAATATCTCTGTAAGTTATTTATCAATTTTAGCTTTTAAGTGGGTATGCAGATATAGCATCTGAGTGTCGCAGTGGTTTGGTCACCATTCAGTAACCTGTTGATCCAATGCCAGTGAGTACAGATTCAAACATCATAGGTGACATGGGTTTTAGAACCCCACTCAACCCCTCTGGGCTGGACAGGTTTGACTGTTGGCCCTCATTGACTTTAGATCATTGCCAAACCTCCACCTGAGGCACCATCCATATATCGGTTGGTCTATCTACCTACCTACCTACCTACCTACCTATCTACCTATGTCTCCATAAAGAGCTATTTCTCTTGTCTTTTGCTCTGCTTAGATGATATCATGTACAATGGACATGAAAAGAAACATAAAAGGATGACACATGGTCCTCACACTTTAGGGTATCATTATAATTATTGTGCGGTATCGGTGAAAAATGCTCTGCTAGGTATAATCAGATGTCAAAGGGATCCTGGAAATGTGAAGTTACTTTTTGTGGTTGTGAGGTTGTATTTATTTCCTCCTTTTCCTTTAAGAACAAGTGGAGGACATTTGGGAGGGCAGGTTGCAACATGCTGAGTTGTCTAGGGTGCCGGAGAAGACCGAAGCGATTCGAAGAAGTATTACATCAACGGTATCATGGAAAACAATTAAAAAGGTGGACTCCCAGTGTACGTGATTCCAGAGAAGTGGTTTGATTGATACTCCTACCCTAGGCGCCCTCCTTTTGCCCAGCTAAGCTAACTGGCTCTGGGATCCTCCTAGATATTAGCCCGAAAGAGTTTCTCTGTTTATGCTAACATGGCAGCAGTTGGTTTCCTCTGGGTTTTGACTGCAGCCAGGGCATTGAAGCTCTAGGTACCTGCATCAGGATTTAAGAATATTAGTTTTTCAGGAGATGGTAAGAAATTTACTCAAGATTTACTTTTTTGTTCTAAGGTAAAGGCTTCCGAAGGGTGTTTGTTTCCAACTTTCGTTTTAGTTTCACTTAATATGAAAAAAAAAAAAAGAGGCTTTATTTTCATACAGCATTCTGATTTAACAGTAGTTCCTTTGCATTTTCACAGGTAGAACATTCCATGATATATTCCACAGCATTCATTAGGTAGAGAGCTCTTGGTAGTTTTATATGAAATATTGTTGAATGACTCTGCATGTGAACAGTGAATGATAGTTTCATAAACAAACTTTAGGAAGCATAGATTCAGTTTAGCCCTATAAAAACATGTCACTATGGGTGCCTGGGTGGCTCAGTCAGTTAAGCGTCTGCCTTCAGCTCAGGTCATGATCCCATAGTCTTGGAATTGAGTACTGCATCCGGGCTCCCCGCTCAGTGGGGAGTCTGCTTCTCCCTCTCCCTCTGCCGCCCTCCCTGTGTTCTCTCTCTGACAAATAAAATCTTAAAAAAAAACAAAAAACATATCACTATACACTAGCCTCTAGAAGGTGCTAAGAAAATATGAAGAAATAGAATACATAAAATATATAAGTAAAATGATAGAAGAATGGAATACATAAACTAAAAAGGTTTATGTAGGACTGGATTGTGTCTGTGTGTTTGAGAGAGGAAGAAGGGTGGGGGGGAGAAACTAGAATATGGACGACCAATTCACTTAGGTATGTGTGGTGGTGTGTTGAATGGGGCTTCAGAAGCCAGAACATACAATAGAACAGGGGGCTGACATAGCTATTAAATTTAGATACTCCCATATATCAAAATACAATAGGTACCATCACTCACTGATTGTTTTAATAGTTTCCCTGTGGACTCACTTCCAAGGCAAAAGGACTGCCTCACCTGGGCTTCCTTATATGTAAAGCAATTATATGTAAAAACTGTTGATCTCCAAATATGAAATAACATTGCATGTTTCTAAAAACTGGAACAATTTTGGAATGGAAAAGAATTATTCCCTCAACCGTCCTACTTGAGATGGTGAAGGTTCCTTTTTTAACAAACCGAAACAATTAATTGTAGGAAGTTAAGCAGATTTTCAGGTAGAAAGAATATTTTGCTGGAAAGGGAATTTTGCTGGACAAGAGAGAGACTGAAAAAGTCTGTTGATGTGTAGGAAACACTATTGTTCATCTTGTGTCTGTGTGTGCGCGCAAGTTAAAATCTAGGACATATAAAATTAAATGTCATAAGAAAATGTAGTTAAGAAGGCATCTCAATTGTTAGGTGCTTTTTATTATACAGTATAAATGGCTCTGTAATGTGGTAATGACAGGACACCTCGGCACTCAGAACTGATAGGTACGAGAGTAAATAGTGTTAGCTGTTTGTGCATGTTGATAGTTTTGTCCTGTGCCATTTTCGGAAAATCTTCCTTATTCATTGTGGATACTGAAGCTTGTTTTTTCAGGCTAGAAAAGGTTAATGCAAGTGATGGTTCCCTATGACATCAGAAAAATTTTAATTAATATGTTCTGGTATTTGGGGATGTTTCTCCTATTTGAGGTAATAGGCACTTAGCAAACATGAAGATGGTATCAGCCATTCAGTAAACACTTTTCATACACAACCGTGTGCCAGAAGTCTCTGTTTAAGAGAAAAGTGGATTACAAGAGCAACAACCACAAGGTTAACATAAAAATGCATTTCCAGTGTAGGGTTTTTAAATGGCTTTAATTTCTCTTTTAAAAATCAAGCCTAAATATTTGCACCTGCATTTTTAAAGTTTTCCCATGTTAAATACTTATTTGGAAACTGTAGAAAATTTAAATGGAGAAAACCAGTATTAATATTTTGGCATTTCCTTCCAGTCCTTCCTCTTAAAGCTTCTGGTGCTTCCCTCTCTCTTTCAGTGCATACACACCAACTTATACAATTGGAATTGCGTTTATACTCCTAGATCCTGCTTTTTCCACTTAACATACCATGAGCATTTTTCCATGTCATTAAATATGCCTTGAATATGTTCTTGGCCACATAAAATTCCATCCTATCGATGCACCTGTTTTCTTTTAAGCTAAGGCACATGCCATGTTTTCCAGTCATGCTGGACTCTTAAAAGCCAAGGATAATACTTTGTGTTGATCCACCATGAGGCTCTTATGAATTTGTTTTCTATTTATAAGATGCACCCACACTTCTGGATACTCCATATAATGGATAGTTAATAAGCAGCCTAAAGATGTCAGCTTGACAATGTTGGTCACCCACATCACCATTACAAATGTATCAAGTGCCAACAAGGGTCACAAATGCTTTTTCCATTTTGTAACCCCCACAAACAAAATTCAAACTCTTGTGTACTGACCTCAAAGAAGGATCAGTGCAGTTTTAAAGCTGAGTAACTTCAGAAATATGCAACCAGCTTACAAAAACATCACTTAAAAGATGTACTTAAATTTACTTTACACTTAAGTTTTGTGACTGAGTGGTTTCTAATTAACACGTTTCAGTCTGCTTAATCTAGAGGACAGATGAAGTTTTAAAACATTCTGCCAGAAAATTTGGGTCTAACCTCGAGGACTACAGCACATATCTGTAACACACAGGAAGCATAAATGAATACTTAAATCCTCAGGAGGGCACTGTGGAACTACATTCTTAGGGTTCTCTGCTGTGGGAAGGTTCTTTTGTTCCTCAAACTGTTCTGAGTGCAAGGCCCAGCCCCTGAGAAAGATTTTTATATTTTCTTTTAAAGAGAAACCCTAAGGATCTTTTAAAATATGAAACTGGAATGTTGCATATTTTATACTTTCCTATAAAAAACTGAGCATACTGAAGAATGAGCAGTCTGTAACTGGAAATTCATATTCAGGTAAGGAAATTGCTTTCATGTACTTTTTATGCACATTTGGAAAGAGCAAACTGAACCAGGTGACGTTTACTTCTATGATCTCCAATATTCAGCTTTCAGTGTCACAACTTTGATAGTACTCACTATAAAACTAGCCTTAAAAACGTCTTCTTTTAATCTCTTGCTGAGATAGAAGTTTGGCCTTTCAGTGTGCTGATTTTCACATGCCCTGTGTTTAAACTGGAATTTCTATGACATGCTTTTCCAGGGGAGAAACAGAACAAAAACAATGTTCAGATAAAATATTATAGGTTTATTTAAAACTTAATTCTCACCTTGAGTATGCAAAATACAAACTCCACAAAATGTTCATTTTTTTACTTTGTAGTTTACAAATATACAAAATAGAAGTTTGCTTAAATTTATATTACATATTTATTAAGGCAAGGAACTATATAGAAAAAAACATTTGTTCTGCTTAAGGCATACTTGGGAATAAACCATTGTACAAATTATTGCACATCTGAAACCACAGTGCATAACAGACTGTCTGCATAAAAATGTTAAAAGAAATAAACCAGGCGTATTTACCTGACTTAGGTCATAAATGTAGATCGGAAGACAAATATAGATTTTCCTTGTCAAAGTATGCAGCAGTTTGAGAACTTTGGCTTCCTCATTTGGTACCTTTAGAACCAAGACTCACCAAGCACCATCGTTTAGGTTATTAAAAACATTTTCTGTACCTGAATTTCTTCCTCTTCTAATATCGTAATAATGGCTTTTAGAAGGCAAAGAGAATACAAGGTGATCTTTATGCTTATATTGCATCGAAACACAATTCAAGGGAATTCTGGTCTTCCCTCCCCCCAACTCATGGATCTAATTTATACCCTGATATCCACACCTTCCAGTCACCCCCTTGGTGTTTTCTAAGTCCAAGAATATTCAAGTTGGCTTTAGCATTGGAATGATAGAAGATCCAGTCACAGACCCCATCGGTTCTTTGATTTGTCTTCTGGTTTCTTTGCGTCTCCTGATTATCCATTCACAAGTTGGCTTGTTGGGAACTTGACCATGATTGTAGTGCTTTCCAGCTGGGTTCCTCCCCCCGCCGCCCCCAACCCCGGGGAGTGGGGGGAAGACTGTGAAAGATCAAAAAAAAATACTGAATTCTCTTCTGGCAGTGTGGGTCATATCCACTGTTTGGGGATTTAAAAGTGCCTCTTCATGTGTAAGGCGAGGTGGTCCGACCTGGAGAAGGCCCGGTCGCACTTCTGGCACTGGAAGGGGCGGTGCCCGGTATGCTTGCGGTAGTGCCTGGTCAGTTCGTCGGAGCGGGCGAATTTCCACCCGCAGCCGTCCCAGTCACAGTGGTAGGGCTTCTCACCTGGGGGAGGGAAAGAAACCCAGGTGAAGCCACCGCTACCTAACGCGGAATTGGCCAAACTGGAGGCCGAGTATCAGACCAATTCCCCAAGCACCCCACTCTGAAAGGGGCCAGCCATGTTTTTAGACCACTTCAAGGCCATCTTCAATTTCAGATCATAAATAGGAATATTTAAAGTATTCTTTTTGCCCTTTTTTGGGGTGGGGGGAACAGACCTACACTTCCTACACTTATATATCGCTAACATTTTCATTCTTTTGAGCCGAAGTACCACGGTGATGGAAGTGAATTTAGAACTCTCTCTCCCGTCCAAACCAAGTGATCACATCCTCTATCCCACTACAACTGGGTCGAAAAAGCCATAGGCGGCTCCTTTTTTTGCATCAGCATTTCTATTATTTTAATGAATCCTACACCTAAATGACCTTATGTACCTATACTTACATGACATGAAAAATTCTCTGCAAGTGACCATCTTAAACCACAATCTTGGGCAAATCATAACCATTCAATTCTTGAAATTCAAATAGAACCTACTTATGAAGGCTAGAACTAAAAATAAAAAAGGAGTGTGCATCTGGGAACAACCAGTGAAAATTGCCTAAAAATTAAAAACTGATAACAAGACCTAACATACTTTTGCACTGCAACGTGTAATTTAAGATTTTATTTTTAAGTAATCTCTACACCCAACTTGGGGCCGGAACCCGGAACCCGCAACCTCGGGAACCCACAACCTCGTGATAGAGTTGCACCCTCCACTGAGCCAGCCAGGCGCCCCCGAAGTATAATTTCTTGATTACAAGGGCAATGCCTTGCTCAAACGAGGAGAGGGCCCACAAGCGGCCTGGAATCTCCCTGCCTTTCAAAAGCCTTACGCCTAACAGAACTGCACATTCAAGCACTTGATACCATCCATCAAGCAAAAGGCTCTTGGGCAAAAAAAGGAGGCGCCAGTTTGGTCTGCTGTTCTCTCCTGTGATCCAAGAGATGGAGGAGATAGACTGTGCCCCACATCCCAAGGGAGGCCCTGAGAAGTGTCCACAGTTAGCCAATGGGCTGCACACCAACCTCCCCGCCCCTTTTGCAGCTTCTGTTCTCCTACCTGTGTGGGTTCGCAGGTGCGCCTTGAGATGAGAACTCTTCGTGTAGGTTTTGCCGCAGCCCGCATAATCACAAGTATGAGTGGCTGTCCTTTTCCGGGGCCACGACCTTCTCCCCCTCTTTGGTTTCGGCTCCTCTGGCATGCAGGAACCAGGAGGCATGAGCTCTAGGGGTGAAGAAGGTGGAGTCAGCATCGGCCCCTGCGCCCCGGAGAGCCGGCACACGCAGGGCTCCCCAGCCCGAGCTATGAATCCCCAGGACTGACCTTGGTAATGGAGCGGTGGGACCTGAGGCTGCATCTGGTCCGGCAAAAAGGGTGGGTAGTTGGGCCCCGGGTGGGGATGAAAGCCCGGGGGGAGCGGTAGGGCATGGTGACAGTCCCTGCTGCTCAGCAGTTCCTCGGCACCCAGGGTCGGGGTAGTCCTGCTGGGGAGCTGCCGCCCCAGGGGGAAGTCGTGCGCTGGTGGCCGGTGGCCATTGCTGAGAGGAGGTCCAGTGCCCAAGTGGGCCTCTAGGGGCCGACCGACGGTGCACGACGAGACCGCCTCCTGCTTGATCTTGGGGCACATGCGCGGTGGCCCGCCGCTGTAGGGCGCCACCACGACCGGGTGGCTGCCATCCGGGCTGCCTTTGCTAACACTGATGACCGACGGGCTGCCGTACTCGCTGCCAGGGGCACTCAGCGACGCCTTTAACACAAACTTGCCCATCAGCCCGCCACCTGGCGGCTGCGGCTGCTGCGGCGGAATGTACACTGGGTCCAATTCGGGCCGAAGCAGCTCAGCCACGAAGCCGCCCGAGGGGCTCACGTCGTTGATGTCCGCCAGGTTGAAGGGAGCTGTGGGAGGGGGCACGGACTCCCGGCCATAGAGGAGGCCGCCGCCGCCAGTGCTGCCCGGCGCCACGCCCGGGTCCCCTCCGGGCCGGATCGGATAGCTGAAGCTGCAGGTGGAGGGCGCGCTGGCAGGACCGCTGCTCGATGGGGAGGACGAGGATGAGGCTGATGCCGATGCCGACGAGGACACGGTGGCGGCCACTGACTCCGGATGGGACAGTGAATTGGAGAGGATAAAGTCCAGGTCCAGGAGATCGTTGAACTCCTCCGTCTCCCTCCGGGGTAGGAGAGCAGGGTTGTTGCCGCCACAAGCCGCGCCGACTCCGCCACTTTCCAGGT